TTCTGTGGATGAGTTTAGTTCCTGGCCTGTTTAGAGCCAAATAACTTTGTATGGATTCTCCCAAAAAGTAATGCATCTTTCTTTCTGCCAAATGAGTGAAAAGTCAACCTGAAAGTGTCCTACATATTCCTAAACTTTTCCTGGGGTCTCAACACAGAATGAAATGCCAAGGCACTTAAGCAACAGCCTCTCGACCTAAAGAGGGTCCCAAAAAGCTGAATATCCTCTTCTGTCAATCCTGAGCTGAATCTTTACCACCTTGGGGAATTCACAATTGGTATTAGGTGACAAATCTCAAGAGATTTTAGGTGTCACAGCTTTAATAAAGCAAAAATGAGAAGCCCTGCAAGCCTGCAGGCACCTTGTGTCCTCTCAGGGCTCTCAGGGGACCAGAGGTGTCCCCACAGTGGGTTTGGGGAGCAGCCACAGGGGAAGCACAAGGGGGACATCTGCAAGCACAGTATATTTGGGGACAGTTGGTCCCTTGACTGTGCAGACTCTGTAGTCCTGGTTGTAATTTATCCCAACCCAGCACAGATGTTGAAAATAGGGCAGATGAATCATGCCCTATAAGTGCCTGTTCTGCTGACTACAAAGGGAGCCCAGGGTGACCGGCTCTGCTGGAAACGTCTGCGTTGTGGATACATGAAGTCAGGTGAGAGAAATCCCACATCTCCCACTGCTCCACCTCTGTTTCTTACCTGCAACAGTCACTTCTCAAGATAAAAGGCTATCCCAGGCTCCAGGGCCACCTAATCCTGCACTGAGCTGCTTAAATAAATGGCAGCGGTCAGCTGAGTAGGAATTCCTGAGACTTGTTTGCAAAGTCAAAGTCAATTTTGAAGCAGGGCTGTTTTACTTTAGTGCAGTGGACAAGAATTCAGCAGAAATCTCAGAGCTGAATGAAAGGTTTTCAGTGCAGCCAACAGGAAGATGAGTGATGCAATTGCCCCATTCTTCCCAGTCTTTCTTACTCAGACTAAATTCAAACTATTGTATTCCACCCCAACAGTCTGCACTTCCCACAAGTTCTTGTGCTGACTTACACATACTTCCCTCATGAGAATTATTGTGGGGGTAATGGGAGGAATTTGGGTTCCTCTCTCTCCTCCACCCCAAACAAACCAGTCCTGTGCCTTCCCAGGAACAAGCAACTCATCTGAAGGCCTTCCATCAAACCGAGCCCTAGGCTAAGTGTTGATAAAATTTAGATGCCATCAAATTAAACCCCAGGTAGACTGGTGGTAGAAATAACACATTTAAATGTCATCATTAGGTTTCATTGTCACCAACCTGCTAAGTGTTGCAGCATCTCTCACACTGGAACTTGCAAACTGAAGGAGGCATCAATGAATTAGTTTCCTACGTCTTCTATGAGAGCACGTGGCTCAGACTTTGTGTTGAAACCAATTAAATTTCTGGTGGAGAGCAGATTGAGTTTTGTTGGGTTTTTGGTTGGTTTGGGCTCTTTTTTTCCTGCTGCAGAAGGGAGGGGTTTGAAGAGGTAAAGAGGAGAAGCTGGAGGGAAAGCAGCAGTTTGCTGGTTTGACCACGCAGGCCTGACGGCAGCGGGCTGAGGTGTATAGACTCGTGCAGTAGGAAATGGACTGGAGCCACGACAGAGCATCTGTCAGATGATAACTCGCAGTCATTTGCAATCTGTGCTGGAGGCAGACCAAGGGCCTGAGCCAACACTTCCAGTTATCCAGGCCTTGTCTCCGGGCCTTAACTCCATCTTCTTTGCATCCCATAGAATGAGGCTCTTCTGCTGCTCTACTGTAGCACAGCAGTGACATCCAGGGGCCATTTCATTTGCTGTGGAGATCAGCCTACTGATATCCAAGAGCATACGTGCCTCAGCCAAAAACCCACTGAAGGAGCTTGGAAAGATCCCCATCAATGTCAACAACTTTTGATCCATCTGCTTTCCTCCATGGTTTTTAGCAGTTAGCAAAAGAAGGGCCCTTGTGCTCCATTACCTTTGTTGCTACCTTTTTGGCGGAGTAATTTAAGAAAAATCTCCCTGTGCCAGCCTTCTGTTCAACACACAAAGTGACTTTGTGTGCTGTGATTCACCCAGTCCCCCAAATCTCCCCAAAACCATGACCTATAGCAACAACAGGAGGTCTACCCACATCTCTGGGTCCATAGTGGCATAAGATCAAGCTTTTGCACCAAAACCCAGCCATTCTACTCCTCCAAAGCTGGGGTCAGCCAATTACTGAGCCCAAGGCCACCTTGATGAGCAAGTAGTTGGCATGAAACCGCTGCCAGCCTTTAGCTGTGTTGGATGCTAGGAGGTCATCTGGGCCTTGTGGGGGAAACCTGAATTCTGCACAGCTGGTTCAGATCTCTCACTTGGATTTAATCTGAATTTCCCAGACTCCATCTCATTAGAACTTTCCTTGATGCCATTTCCAGGTCTTATACCTGTGCAAATGTTGATAACCTGCAGTAAAGCCATTTCGTTTTTCCCTTGGATATGTTTTTCTCTCTCTAAAGTAGGCTTCCAATGCCTAAAATCACTCTGGCAGGAATCTTTGCTGTTTCCTTAAGATCTTTTTTTGGACATGTGAACATCAGAACACTAGACATAACTTTTCAGAAATGGTCTCACTAATGCTGTTTACAGAGATAATATCAGTTCAGCACTCCCACTTCATATTTGCCGTCTGCGCAGCCAAGGATTACTCCAACCTTCTTGGCTAAGGCATTGCTGGGAGTTCAAACACCAGCAATTGTCTACCAGGACCATTCCAGTTGGTTCTGAGTCACTGATTTCCAGGATGTATCCCCCCTACACACATCCCCTAAGGTGTGACCCCCATCACTTGCTCCAAAACATTCGCCTTTTCCGGTGGCCACACCAAAATGAATTTTGTGTGGTTCCCACTTCAGCCAGAAGCACCTGCCTGCACAACCAGGCTGTGCCCATGGCTGCTTGCCACCAATCTTGTTTTCTTCTTCTCTGAAAATTTTACCTGCTTTCTGTTAGGGTTTTTCTTTTGCAAGTAAGAGGCTGCTGCTCTGTGGTGGTTATCGGATCATTCTCCAGCTATTTGCTCCTTGCATTTTTCTTCCTCCCACTTTTCTCTCAGCTTTCACTTCCCCTGCCATGCTTTTACTCCTTTTTGCTACCATCAGTTGGATCTGGTTTTGTTTTCTGAAGGTGGCTTGTTTGGCTCAAATCACTGGGTACGAGTGCAGATGTTTGGGTTCGAGGGGAGGTGTAATGAAAGAGGATCACACTGAGAACATGCCCTGCATGTCTCTGCTCTGCCTACACCAGATGTGCACCATGTGGCCCAACACAACAGTCATCAAGCACTGAAATTGAGAATATGAAAATATTCCTCAGAAAAGAAGTGCATAAAGCTATCAGAGGCGGCTCACCAAAAATCTCTGATTCTCAGCAAAAAAGAGGTTTCCCATGGCCCAGTAACTGTTTTGATAACCCTTTCACTGGTCTAGTAAAATACTAATAAATAGGTAGCAAAAGAAATATTCATCTACAGGATTAATTACAGCAAGGCAAGCATTTTTTTCACTTTAATTTTTCTTCCTTTTTTGGGCTTTCCTGGGTTGGGCAGGGCAGGCTGGAGAGATGGACTAAGTGGTTACATTAAAGAACAAGTGAGATTTTGCATTTGTACTCTTAATTCCTGGTTTGGGTCTACTGGGCAGTGAGAGAATGAACTGGGTGGGGGAAAGGAATTAAATTATCTGTGAAAATAATAGGTTTTATGTACCCAACTGGAGTGGAAACAGGTGACAAGAAACCTCTCACTGGAGCCATGTTAATGCACAAGCAAAAGCTGGGCTTTAGGGTTTTCTTATGCAAAAGCTGTTTGCACTCCTCAGTTTCAGCCACTGAGAGAGCTTTCTATGTAGAGGATGCAATTATGGAATCATAGAATGGTTTGGGTTGGAAGAGACCTTAAAGACCATCCAATTTCAACCCCCCCTTCCATGGGCAGGGACACCTTCCACTATCCCAGGTTGCTCCAAGCCCCATCCAACCTGGCCTTGGACTCTTCCAAGGGATTCAGGGGCAGCCACAGCTTCTCTGGGCACCCTGTGTCAGCACCTCATTGCTCTCTTAGCAAAGAATTTCTTCTTAATATCTAATCCAAATCTGCCTTCCCTGAGCTTAAGGTTATTCCCCCTCCTCCAAAGTCCCTCTCCAGCTCTCTTGAAGCCTCCTTAAGTGCTGGAAGGGGCTCTAAGGCCTCCCAGGAGCCTTCTCTTCTCCAGGGTGAACAACCCCAGCTCTCTCAGCCTGTCTAGGATAGAATTTTATCATCTTCCAATGGTTCTAAAGCCCTACTGCCCATGCATGTGTCCCTGTTCCCCACTCTGCAGTTGGAGAGCTGAGGCAGGGCAGGTTCAGCCCAAGGTCCTGCAGCCCCTGGCAGAGGAGAGGATGCTCAGAAATTGGTGCTGCCCCTGCTGCCCCATCCTTCCTCCTTCCCTGCCTGACTCTGCATGGCATGGCAGGAACCCACTGTCCCTTGGGTGAGATGCTGAGGATCATCTGCTGATTGCAGACTGAACCAAACATTTCAAAAGGCCTGTTCTTCCATTCAAAAGCATATCTTCTTTGGATCTCTTACGGAAAGCATAAAAAGCTTTTCAAAATAGCCAGCATGATTATTCATGACTACTCATTTGCAGCAGCGCTTGTTTTCCATGGCAGCACCGATGAGCTCACCTGAATAAAGATTTTTTTTGGGGGGAGAATGGATGGCTGGAGGTTTTGCACAAGCCAAGATGTGGGCTGGCACAGTCCCTCTGCACTGGGCAAAGAGCAGAGACCTCATTCCCATTCCCATCCTGGTGCTGCTCCAGCTGCTGCCGTGCCCTCCCACAGCTGTGCTGTGTCTCTGGCACTGGGAACCCATCCCTGCTTGCTTTATTTACCCGTATCCAGTGGAGGAAGGGCTGGGGGCACGCTGGGTTTTCCAGGGAAGCTCCTGATGGATGGGCACACCTGATGGAGGGTGAGGATTCCTGCCAGAAGAACTGGCAGTGATGCACCTTGGGCTGTGTGAGGAGGATGTGGTAGTGCAGGGGAGGGAGCCCAGATCACCAGTAAGAGCCAGCCTGGCTCAGGATGATTTCCCAGCAGGCAGAATATCCCTTCCCCTCCTGCTCACCCCTTTCCTCCATGTACTCCGACCAGCTGGCTGCCAGGACTGGAATTTCCTGACTCCTGAGACCTCGCCTGTGCTGCAACACCCACTGGAGTCTCCTTCGCTTCCCCCCAGTTTTGTTTGTCTGTGGTTTTGCACAGGGGAAAAAAAACCCCAAAAAAACGAAAGCAAGCCCAAACACAGGGAGATATTGGGCTGCTGTGATCAGTTCATTGTTCAGCCCAGGAGCTGGGGGGAAAAAACCCCCAAAAAACAAAAGCAAGCAGAGGTTTCCGGGAGCACAGGAAGATATTGGGCTGCTGTGATCAGTTCATTGTTCAGCCCAGGAGCTGCGGGTTCCAGGGGCAGCTGCGAGCAAAGCGACACAGCCCCAAATCCAGGCAGGGTTTTCTGGCACTGCCCCAAATCCAGGCAGGATTTGCCAGCACAATCCAAAACCCAGGCAGGATTTGCCGGCACAGCCCAAAATCCAGGCAGGGTTTGCCAGCACTGCCTCAAACCCAGGCAGGGTTTGATGGCACAGCCTCAAACCCAGGCAGGGTTTGATGGCACAGCCTCAAATCCAGGCAGGGTTTGCTCACACTGCCTCAAACCCAGGCAGGGTTTGATGGCACTGCCCAAATCCAGGCAGGGTTTGCCAGCACAACCCAAAATCCAGGCTGGGTTTGCCTGCACAGCCCCAAATCCAGGCTGGGTTTGCCAGCACAGCCACAAATCCAGGCTGGGTTTGCCAGCACAGCCCAAAACCCAGGCAGGGTTTGCTGGCAGAGCCCAAAATCCAGGCTGGGTTTGCTGGCAGAGCCCAAAACCCAGGCAGGGTTTGCCTGCACAGCCCCAAATGCAGGCAGGGTTTGCTAGCACTGCCCAAAACCCAGGCAGGATTTGCCGGCACAGCCCAAAATCCAGGCAGGGTTTGCCAGCACTGCCTCAAACCCAGGCAGGGTTTGATGGCACTGCCCAAATCCAGGCAGGGTTTGCTCACACTGCCTCAAACCCAGGCAGGGTTTGATGGCACTGCCCAAATCCAGGCAGGGTTTGATGGCACAGCCTTAAATCCAGGCAGGGTTTGCTGGCACAGCCCCAAATCCAGGCAGGGTTTGCCGGTGCAGCCCGGCACAGCTTGGGCTGTCTGCTGTGTGATGTAAGCCCTGCTTTAATTTGTTTTCCAGAAAATTCATTTGGAGGAGAGCTCTGCGAGCAGCTTGGCAGCAGCCGGGGGAAGCGGCCGGGGGGGACATCAGCTGTGAGCCCTGGCCAGCAGGATGGCGTGGGGGCTTGCAGGGCTGCTTGCCCTGCCTGGGAAAAGCCTCTGGGTCCAGTCCACAGCCAGTTACTCCCGGTCACCCGCTGTGTCAAGCTCCAGAGCAGTTATTTGTATGCCCCAGAGTGGCCAGCACAGAGCACTCAGCACCTGTGGATGTGACAGTAAAACCAGGGGTAAATAACAGCCCAAGCAGGAGCCAGTGCAATTCAATCTGTATTTAGTGAATGCAGTTAAGTGCGGAAGGATTCTCAAGCTGGCTGAGAGCAGCTTTCCTTTCCTCTGTGGGTCTAAGGATGCATGTCCAGGCTAAAAGTATTTGGAGGATACAGCACAGAGAGCTTTGCCTGCTCTGTTCTGCACCATTTGACTTTTTATCTGTAGGATAAGGAGGGAGCATGGCTGAGAGAGGAAAGCACAGTGTGCCAGCTATGGTGGGAAAGGCACAAACTGGCAAGTGATCTGCTTGTCTTTGTCCATGTTTATTAAGATCCCACTGACTTGTGCTGAGGTTCAAAGCCCTGTTACCTCTTCTCCCTCTCTTGGAAGTCAAGGAGAGCTGGGTTGTTTTTTCCCATGGACTCAGAGCTGCAGGGGACCCCCAAGGCCACCGTGCCCACCTGTGGCTTCAAGCAGAACTCATGAGGTCCAGACTTAACAGGGGTTTCTGTAAAAGAAGCAACATCTGGTGCTTGCTCCAAGAGACCTCCCCAACCTCCTGGGGAGCAGAAATGTGTCCAGCAGAAAGCTTTGCCTTATTCCAGATTTCCCTTGCTTGCAACATGTCCCTTGCTTGTCCTGCCCTTCAGGGACATGGAGAACAGACTGTCCCCTGGTGTCCTCAGGAGGAGGACAGGCTGGAGGACAGTCAGGCTGCTTTCAGGAGCAGCCCTTGGCCTGGGTGCCATGTCCCAAATGGGACGGGGAGGTCAGTTCTGCATTTCCTGGCAGTGAATATGTGAAGGAGTGTAACTATTTCTGCAAAAGGAGATTCAGGCATATTTTCCTCCCATATGCCACCCCCTTTGGGGTCATCAGGGAGAGGATTACAGGGGTAAGACCACTGGAAATCATCTCCCTAACTTCCATGACTGCTGACCCTAAGGATGGAAAAATGGGCACAGGTGATGATGACCTTACTGCCTCCAACAGGATTAATTGAAAATGAGCCTAAAGGCTTTGCTGGAGGAGGTCAGAGGCAGCTGCAGGGGGACACTGCAAGGTGGGATGGGAGAGCAGTGATGACTTTCCTGGTCTCTGGAGCATGGCAGTTGCTGGGCATTTTGGCTGAGCACTGCGGGTGAGCAGGACAGAGCAAACTCCTCCTCACTACCTTGCTCAGGTCACCTCTTCCATAACTCACTGTGTCATTTCCCCCTGCAGAGAAGGACAAGCTGAAGAATTTGGTTGGCCAGATTGTACTTTTTTTCCCCTTTTGGAAAAATAATAGCATAGCATTTCCTCTGCCTTGTCCTCTCCCGTGCTGTACTGGTAGCTGCACTGAAGCTGATTGATTAGTTTAATAACAGTCAGTTGATATGCAGCCATAAAATTATGCACTTTTACTCATCAGGCTGATTGAACTCCTCTGCTGACTGCACAGGAGCAGAATGGCAGAGTTAAAATAATGAGGGAAACAGCCAAGGGAAAAGCAAGCGTGGTGGTGTTATTGTTTTAAAGCTGAGGAGGAAAATGAGTCCAGGGAGGAGCTTTTCCAAAATAAACACCAAAATACAGAGGGAAAATGTTAAGATGTAATTAGCATTGGTACAAGTGCCATTAAATGTCTGCTGGGGTTGGAGAGCTTATTTTACACCCATCTGGTCTATTTTGGGCTTTCAGGAGGTTGGGTCTGACCCTGCTGAACATCCCAGGTCCCCTTGTCCTCAGAAAGGGTGAAAGGGGCTGAGCCCTTTGCAGGGTGAATAAACTCAATGGGAAAAGATGGGAATTCAGTTTGTTGTTTAGCTTGGGGCTGGTTTTGGTTGTTTTGGTTTTTTTCTTCCTAATTCTGGCCAAGGAGGGAAGGATATGAGGATGGAGCTGGGAAAAAAACACGACTGGGAAGGGATTGTTCCCTCTGCCCCCACACTATCGGCGTCAGTGGAGGGGAAATGGTGTGATGGGGACTAGCAGGGCTCCTGCAGCCTGGCCTGGCAAGGACAGGACTCCTCTCAGTGATGTCCCCACGGCCCTGAGCTCTGCTCTTTGTGGGCACCAGGGAGCTGAAGTCAGCCTCTGTCCTGCGGGGTGTCAGTCACGCTCTCTGAAGCCACCAAAGGGAATTGAAGGTTCCTGCTCAGCCATGAATCAAAATGCAGGAGCAGGCAGCAGGGCTGGCTGATGAAAAGCCACACAGCCCCCATCCATGCATGGAGAATGGCATTTAAGGCTTTACATCCCAATAAAATATTTCCCAGCGCCCCAGCATGGCTTGCTCGGGTGACAGGCTCTCTGTTTGTCCCGCACACATTCATTTTATTTATAAGACCAATTTGTCTGCAATAGGTCAGCCAGCTCCTCGTGCCCATGATCCCCACTGCTCCCACTGCTGTGAAACATTTTAATTGAACCTGCTCACGTGCTGTGTCCCCAGCACAGGGCTGGCAGCCTTGACCCTGGGCCCAGCCTCCATCCAGAATGCAAAACTAGCCAGATTTTTCCTTTGGGGCTCATCCCCCTGAAGGAGGGGATGGGGACAGGGGAGGGAATAAGGGGCACTTAGTGTTTATTTTCTCCCAGAGAAATGCCTGGCAGATGGTTGCACAAGTCTTCTTGCCCTTTCCTCCTGACTGCACCCCATCCAGGTTGTTCCTGGGAGCAAGGCTCCTGTCCTCATTTGCCTCAAAGGGCTTTGGGTCAGGCCACGTGTGGCTGCTGCAGATGAAACGCTGACCTATCCAAGGGTGCTGCTTCTTCTGTTCATTATGGGTGCCCAAGAGCCAGGAGTGAGGTTCTGGGTTCTGGAAGCCCTGATCTCTGCTTTGTCTCTGCTGTCATGGGTATTCTTCCTTCCTGGCAGCCTGTGCTCTTCCTTGGGCTCAGCAAAGAGGAGGCTGGACCTGAATCCAGAGCTAAGGAGCAGCTCTGACTGTGGCTCCTTGTCCTCAGACGGGGAATGGAAAAGATAAACACAAACTGTGTTGTAGCAAAGACTTTGCTTCTATTTGTCTGTGTCTAAAGTAAAAAGAGACCCTGCAAATCTGTAACAAAATGTCTTTCTGCAAGTGCAAATCCTGGTAAAAGCTGTCAGGGTTTCTTTATGCAATGGAGTTGGAAAGCTAAATTTAACTGCTCCTTCAGGCTTCCCTCCCCTTTCTTTTTTTTTCTGGTAAAAGCCCCATTACCAGGATGGAAAGCTTAAGTATTGAAATTTTCCATTTAAGTTTGAAAAAACAACCACCAACAACCTTTCCAAAAAAAACCAATAGTAAAACCTACCAAAACTTTCCTCCCCCCTCTCCTTATGCTGAGCAGGTGCAAAGAAGAGCCCTTTCCAAGGTAAAGAGTGGCACAGGAAGAAAGCAGAAAAGGAAGCAAGGGAAGGTGACATGTGGACAGGGACTGCAATAACAAACAATATTCTGACTCAAGGGATACTGCAAACACATTTTGCATACTCAAAAATACTCTTTAACCATTTTTAAACTGGTTCTTGCCAACTGAGAGGGGAAGCCTAACAACAAGTGCCTGGTTATTCCTGATTCCTTTTTCTGCTCTTGGCAGAAGATTTGGCTTGGTGACCTCCTGAGGTCCTTTCCAACCTCATTTAGTCTCTGATCCTGCAAGCACAAGTCTTTGAGCTCACCAGGGTCCTTGTGCAGATTGCATTAAGGACGAGGAGGAGAATGTGGCAAGTGGAGAACTGAATGAATTCAGCCCATGCTGAACACCTTCCTCCAAACCTGAGTGTCACAGAACCACTTGGGACGGAGAAGACCTTTAAGGCCACCAAGTCCAACCCTTAACCCAGCACTGCCCAAGCCACCACTAAACCCTGTCCCCAAGTGCCACATGTCTTTTAAACCCTCCAGGGAAGGTGATTCCACCCCTTCCTTGGCAGTCTGTGACAGGGCTTGGCACAAATTGAGGCCATTTCCTCTGATCCTATTTGTTATTTGGGGGAAGAGCCTTACCTCCACCTGGCTGCACCCTCCTGTCAGGGAATTTTGGAGGGCCAGAAGGTCCCTCCTGAGCCTCCTGAAAAAGAGAAAAAGAGAAATAGAAAAAAAGAAAAAAAGAAAAAAAGAAAAAAAAGAAAAAAAGTTTTGCGAATGATTTTAAGAATGTTTTATAGAAAGTAGAAGGAATATGGTGTGAGGCAAAACGCAGGTCCTCAATGCCCCGCTTGTGCTCTCCCCTCTCTGCGGGGCCGCTCCGTGGCCGCCCAGCGCTCTTTGTTTTCTTCCGCCGAGTGACCTCCGGTCACTGCAAATGTCACCGTGGCCCGGGGAACCGCGGCTCCCCGCAGCTGCCCCTTCCGGAGGGGAACACTCGGTCACCGGACGAGAAACTTGGCTGCAAACCCCAGAGAGAGCAAAGCAGAAACAACCGAGCCTGGGAACGGGGGGAGAGAGGGGAGCTCTCAGTGATCATCATTCACCAGCAGCACCAGTTCTCCAGGGACTTCAAAAACATCTTTGACAGTCCACAATGTCCCTGTCAAATGCCACCTTTGGAAATTGAGGGAGTTTTTCTGTGCTGCTTCTCATCCAGACTTTGCCCCTCGATGTTCTGGTCAGTCTGGAGCTGCACAAAGCAGCACAGGGTCTTCCCCAGCTTTATTCTGTGGATGACATTTAGCTGCAGCTGAGATGGGCAGGTTAAAGCCATGATAAGGCAAATATTTGCTCAGCATGGAAAGCTGCTGATGGGTAAAAATTGCCCGGTGTTACCTTCAGCGTGTCTTACATGGCACGAGCGGGGATGCACGGGCTGGAGCCAGGAAAATCCCAATCTCTGGAGGTTCACAGGCTGTTAAAGGTCCCAGTCACCCCTCTGGGAGCCCATCTCCTGCCTCACAGCTCCATTTGCCACGTGAGAGCATTGACTTCACAGTATCAGGCACTGCATTCATCTGCTTGAAGCTGCTGAAATCCTGCAGGAGCAGCTGATGGGGACCAGGAACCTGTTGTCCCAATTTGCAGCAGGAATCCAAAATGACAGTTCTGGGCCAGATGAGTTACAGTGCCCTGAAGGTGCATTCCAAGGCCTGCTGGCTGCACACAAGGTGTGGTGTGAGGAACAGAGACTGCTGCCCTGTAAGTGTGCCCTAATAATTTGTCAGCATCGATGTTACAAAAGCTGCCTCCTCTGGAATACAAATTCCCTTGGACGTGCTTGCCAGCTCTCTGCTGTGATCACATTTTTCTCCCAGAGGTCAGCCAGCCCTGTATCCTGTATCCTCTCCCCTCGGAAGCAATCCTCAGCTGTAATGAAGTCCACTCCCAATTTTAGCTTTTGTTTGTTAGCCCTCTCCCTGTGATAAATATTTATTATCACGTTTATTATCACATTATTTTGGTGACTCACCATCCCCGACTTCCCAGCATTGTTTTTGACGGGAACTTCTCAGTACCTGTTTCATTAACACCCTGCAAGGAACAAACTTTACCTCTGTCTCCTACGGACTCAGCCCCCAACAAAACCCTTCTGCCCCTCCCTTGGGGTGAGTTCATGACCTGCTCTTTGTCTGCTGTGATCACTTGCACTTGCACTGTCACTGCTCTCCCCATGACCAGATGGGGCTGTCCTTTCTTTGAATGTCACTGCCCAGCAAACACTGGTCCCAGGGCAACCATCAATTTTCCCTCCAGCGCTGAATTAATCCACAGCCACCATCCCGAGGTCCCCAGCTGAGTGATTGCATTTTTGATGTGTGGTAGAGCATGTTCAGCAATGGCCAGCTGGGTTTTTAGAAACACTGGTGCCATCTTTCTCCTGCAGCACAGGTTTCTCAGGCTGAAATCTCTGTTAACCAAAGTCTTCTTTTCATTTCTACAAATTAACGTCCAGAGCTCTTCCCCACTTGAACTCAAAGGCTCATCACACATCCTGCCTACTCTTGGGTAATGTTAGCACAAAGATGCAGAGGCATGGGAGACTCTCAGGCTCTGAGGTATCAATAAATCTGAAAAGAAATGGGTATTTTTTTATTAATAGGTGTGCTCTGCTCCCTTTCCTCCCTTTCATCTTCCTCCACACTGCAGCCCATTATTGCAGCATTCCACTCACCTGAATCCCTCATGCCTCACCCCAGACTCCCCAGAGCACTCTATAAACTCCTGGAAATCTCTCCTCTGTCTGGCAGAGCTTCTGTCTGCTCATTACACAAAATCCAGTTTTGTTCTGCTTTTTGCCTGCTTTAGTCCTGCTCATTTTGGTGATAAGTTCAACACCTTTTTCTCTTTTCTCGCTTGCATTCTCTAGTCTCCAGCCAAATAAAAAACCCCCAAACCTGTCCTACCCAGGAGCTTTTTGTTACCTGCCCATCTTTGCCTCCTTCCACAAACCCAAGGTTTTCAGCTGCTGCTTGCAGAGCAGCTTGCTCACACCAGTATTTTTTGCTTTCTTTCTCAATCTCTCAGAAAAATCTCCCAGCTGCTCCCCCCTCCAAATTATTCCTTTTTCAGACTCAGGGGTTCTCTGCAGTCTGTGCTGACCTGTGTAACTCCATGTGATGCTCCATCTGTTGTTGACTTCTTTGTGTTTACTTACTAAGGGGAAACTGAAAACACAATTTCCAGCTCTGGCCAGTGTTCCTGCCATTCCTCAAAAATAAGATTTGTCGTGGATGGAGCTCTGATTTCGATCTGCTCAAGCCTGTGGCTCAGCCCCAGGGATGCTGGCTGGGGGAGGACATGTGAAAAGTGTCCTGTGCAGTGCTTCATCTCCCCTGAGACACATAATTCTCTCTGCCTCAGTCTTCACACTGAGATGTCAACAGCTGAACCTCCAGTTCAAGTGTATTTATGCATATTTATCCCTGCATGGCCAGTGAGGTGTATTAAAACCAGTTTATTTCAGAAATAGCATCATTTTTCCTGGCGAGGGAGAGCAGCTTCTCTAATTTTCTGTGCCACTTGTATTTTTGGGCTTAGCGAGGCAAAATGCCAAGGAGTGACAGCCTGTTTACCTAAGAGCAGCTAAAAGAGCTGTGTGGCAATCAAGGTATTGAGTGGGTTGGGCTGAAAATAGATCAGCTTGGGAAGGCTTTGATCAGAAATATTCACTGGGGGCCTGGCTGGCCGTGAGCACCAGTGGCAGCTCCCAGGGGATATATCCCCCTGCAAATGTGCTAAGCAAGGTACACACTCCTACTCCCACCATGGAATGGGATTCACTATCAGCAATGTGGTCATTTTTTCCCCACTGGGAAAACCTCTTTGGGAAGGGTTTTTTGGCCTCACTGGGATATCACTGAGCCCTTCACCTCAACCTTCCTCAGAGAATGATTGTTTAACCCCTAGAAGCTCTCCTGAGCTCCCACCAAACCAGGCTCCAAACCTTTCCCAAGCTGTTTTGCCTCCTTCTTTCTTGATGAGCAGACATGCCAAGCCCAGCCTACCCATATGATTACCAAACTATTTGCCTGCAGCCTCACATATCTCACTTTATACAGCCCCTTGTGCCAGCTCTCTTCTCTGGGCAAGTCTACCTAGCAGTTTTGGCCCAGGCTCCAGGTCTGGCATGGCTTTTGGCATCCTGACAGGCAGGACAGATTACAGAACAAAGGGTCTGGGCTCTTTTGGTGGCTCCAGGAAAGCTCTCACCTCGAGATAGGAGAGCATGAGCACAGACCAGGCTCTGGCTTTGAAGGTGTGGGATTGAACAGGTTCGGTCACAGGCCCTGGGCTCAGCTCCAGAGAGAACAAACAGCATCACATCTCTGTAGCACTTTGTTCAGGAGTGTTCCTGCTCCTCAATTGCTGTATTTTGCAGCAAATGAGGCACTATGGGCTTTTTTCTTTCCAGTTTTCCAGCTGCAAACATCAGGGAGAACTGGCCACTCTGCAGGGATACAGCACTGTAAAACCAAGGGCTCTCCTCAAGCTGCCAGCCACAGAGCTTGTTACAGACTCAGTGCCCACTGTTATCATGAAAACCATGGTTACATCAGGAATTTTCCATTTCCAGGGCTGCCAGGCCCTTAGTTCTACACCTCATCAGTGGGGGAGAAATAAAAGCACTGCCTCAGGGTTGTTTGAAGGCTGCAGAGCATGCCAGGGCCATCCCTGCTGTGGATGACAGTGCCTGTACCTGTCCCCAGCCCTGCTGATGTTTAAGGCTTTATCAGACTCCACAGGAAGAGAGTTGAATGTGGGCCAAGTGAATTCCTGAGGTTTTCCAGCCTTCTGCTGCATCTGGCACAATCCAGTTGAGGATCTCGGGGTCACTGGCTCCAGGCCTCTAAACCATGTCACATGTCTTCCAAAGGCTGGGGTTGTGCTTTACTCTGTAAAGGTATTAGAAAATAAATGATTTTTTCAACATAATGACGCTGCCCATGCAATTCTCCTTGCAGATCTTGGGAATTGTCTTGCTATCCACATCAGTCCTTCCCTGGATCAACCAACAGCACAAACCTCATTAAATCCCACACTCACTGCTGCATGCCTACAGCCCTGGGAGACTCAGGGAAGAGAAAACCCAACTGTCAACACATTTGGGTTCGGAAAAAGGAAATCAGAGTGAAGAATTAAAAATGGCAGATTTCTGCAGTGCCACTGTTTTGCTCCTGAGCTCATGATGCTGTGCTGGATCTAGAGCAAAACTGAGCAGATTTCCAGACACACCAGTGGAATGAGGATCAGTAGTTTGCTGAGCAACTTCCCATCAGGGAAACCAAGGGATGGCAGCAAGTCAGTGACATCCCTTAAGTGAGCCCAGAGGGGCTAGATCCTCAGCTTTGGCTGCAGTTCCATGGAAAACAAGATAGCAATGGAATATGTGACCTTCCAGCATCAGCATCAAGGTCCTTTCTGCCTGATGGAGGAAGCAGCAGTGGGGCTTTTCTCTCCAGCAGTGACTGCACACAGGGCTGTATTTCCTCACTCACATCCTTTAGTTAGAAGTGAATGTGAGAGGCAATTTCAAGCTTTGAAATGTTGAAATCCTGAAAAAAAAATGAATTTCCAAGTATGGGGACCATGTATGGGTTTTAGCTGATGCCTGAATACTTTAGGGGTTGTATTTT